CATATCGTTGAAGCTTCGTTGAACAGAAGAGAGAAGAAAAGTTGGTCTCGGGGGCGGGCCGTTTTCCTTGTTGCCGCCAAGTACCGTGTGTAAAGGCTGAACCGCATGTAAGCAATTTTGGCGAGCGACGGGACGAGACGAGCGACAGCGACGAGACAAGCGACGACGACCCGCTTCGCTGTCGCTCGGTCACTCGCGCGACGTGGCGAACCGCATGAAAGCGACGGGAGCATGCGACCAAGGCGATAAGCGACCCTTTCTAGAGATCCAAAAGCCAAGCGACGCGACGACCGACCGCGAGAAATCTCCGTCGCTCGTCACCGACCCCCGTCGCTGTCGCCATCGCTCGCTAAATCGCTTACATGCGGTTCACCCTTCACTGTCACTCGTCGCGTAGCTCGGTTTTGGGATTTCTAAAAAACTTAGCGCTCATCGCCTTGGTCGTGTGCTCCCGTCGCTTTCATGCGGTTTTCCTCGTCGCGCGAGTGACCGAGCGGCAGCGAAGCGGGTCGCCGTCGCTTGTCTTCCCGCTCGCCAAATCGCTTACATGCGGTTTTTAAATCGCTTGGGCTAATGAAAATGCGCCGCATTTTTTATAAGCTGCGCACTCTGTGAGCCGCATGGTATGTTTCTGCACAGGAACGAACACCGAAGGCACGACGTATGTTGTACGACACAGCGGCGATGGAGCCACACGGTTACACGGCCGTAGTACAGAAAATCAACTAGAGAAAAACAATAATGAAACTATCAAAACAAAACAAAGAGTAATCACACCGTGCTGCAAAAGCACCAAAGTAGAAAAATTAGTTCTTGCAAGAGCTACCGCCGTCGGCTCGGCGGGCGACACGGAGCGCTTCATGGAGCCGAGGGAGCAACGCGGCCGCGGTAAACGAGTCCGATTGCGACAAAAACAAACTAAAACACACAAAAAATACTCCCACGGCGCTTCAAAAGTACCAAAGTATAAGAATAACCCCTAGTTTCGATCAAAAAGACCCTTTAAAGTTGTAAAATACTGCTAAACCACGCTCAAAAGGTCCGGCCTGATGGCATTCGCGATAGCAAGAGACCTCGAAGATGGCGACCGCGGTGGGTGATGGCAGCGAACCTAGCGAGTGACGTCAAGTGAATGTCACCTATTGTATATCTTCCGTGACATTAAACAGTAGTCGATAGTCGAGTGCGAGTTCTTTCTCTCCCATGTTATTTTTCCATCACAATTTACCTGGGCGTTAACCAATACCAGATCGAGAGCTTCACAGAACTCCTCTAACATCCTCCGTTGTATCCGTATGTCCATCACGCCGCGCGGTGGGCAAGGTCGCCGACGCACCAAACATGGCGGCCTTCACGAAAGGGGTGGATCTGAGGGTCCCGCATATAAATCGGTTTATCTACCAAACTATCGCGCCATTTATGTAAAACAAATTGAGCAAAAATATGGAAACATGCAATGGGTCCTAGCTGTATAATTATCTGTTTTATTTCTGGCATGCCCTTACTAATAATAATAATAATCTTTATTCAGCTTAAAGGGCTGCGACACCACAGAAAGGCCATTGGCCCATACCTGAGGCCTGCAGTGCCGCATTACTACAAACAAAACAAAACAAAGTAAGATTTTTACATAAAACATACACACACACGTACACAACACACATGTACGCTCGCTCGCTCGCTCGCACGCACGCACGCGCACACTCACGCACGCACGCACACACACACACACGGGGGAGGGGAAGAGAAAGGGAGGGTAAATCATTGTTATGGAGGCGGCCCGATGCCTCCTAAAGCCCCTCGATGTGTTTACGTGTCTTGCAAGTAGCGTCAAATGCGCGAGTGCACGAGGCCCATGTCTCGAGCGGCCCTTGGAAGCAAATGGCGGTGCAGCACTGAAATGAGCGGCCCTTGGAAGCGAATGGCGGCGGAGCACGCGCTCACGGCACGTGTCTCGCGCGTTTCTACAACAATGGTTGGCGGTACTTGAAAAAAAGACCATCAAGGGGCTTTAATGCCTCCTTGCTCCAGGCTTTGACATCTGGCCGCTCGAGGGGCGGGCACTCCGTCAGCTCCCTTGGCAGAAACGCCAGAGTGCCTCAGCCCTTAGCAGAAAAGAGTTCTGATGCCGCTCAGTCCGGCCGAACAGCGGCTGCAGACCACCAGACCTAGTCCGGCGCAGATGCTGCACTAGTAGAAGCTCCTTTCGTAGGAGGCAGGTGGTCAGAAGCCGGACGGATTTCACCTGGCGACGAAGAGCGAGTGGGTTCCATTCCACCATCCCCAAAGGTTCCTGTGTGATTATGTCGCGGTAACGCGGGAGATCGGGGAAGGCCTGCCGCTACAGAACTGCGTATCAGCACGTCGCTGCACACTCAAGAGATGTCGACAGAGAAAGTTGGTGGGGGCCCAGACTGCGGCGCAGTATTCTAGGTGTGGGAGGACGAGAGCAGTGTAAAGGTGCACCACACCGGCTCCTGCTTCGCGGGTGACTCTCAGCACGAAGCCCAGCATACGACGGGCTCTGGAAGTCACCTCGCTGATATGGGTTGAAAAAGTTAGCTTGGCGTCAATCGTCACACCAAGGAGCCTTGCACGGCTGGTCATAGGGAGTGCCGTCCCATTCAGGTAAAGTCTACTCTCACCAGTAGCATGCCTCCTTGATGTAGTGATCAGGGTTGATGAACACTTCTGCATGTTGAGAGGAGCTTATTTTGGACAGACCAATAGGTGAGCGGCGTTTGGCAACTTCCGGTTCCTTAGGAAATTTTGTTTTGCTGTTGACAAACGACGACAATGAACTGCAAGACTGTACAAGCATTATCCTGAAACCTCCAGACTGTAGTTTTCAGAACCATGCTTAGACAGGCTTGCAGATCACCGTCGTCGTTTGACAACAGCTAAACAAAATTTCCTAAAGAACCGGAAGTTGCCAAACGCCGCTCACCCATTGTGGACGGTGGTCAGGTCGTCCTGCAGTTTCCGGTATTGGAGGGAGTTCTGGACGGGTTGAATGATTGTTAAATCACCAGCATACAGCAGGGGGATGCACTGCATGGAGGATGTGATGTAATTTATGAATATGTTAAATAGGCTTGGTCCCAGGACACTGCCCTGAGGGATTCCTGAGAGGACGCATTTTGCTGCTGAGATTGCCCCTCAGAATACCACTCGTTGCAAGCGATTCAGTAGGAAGTCTGATATCCACCCCTCGAGATAGCTCGTTATTCCCCTCTTGGCAAGCTTCTTGCGAAGAATTCCGTGGTCCGCCTTGTCAAACCCGTTTGAAGTCGAGCTGCACGACTTTGCAGGGGTTGCGGGCATCAAGAAATGAGCTCAGCATGTGAACAGTTGTAGCCAAGGCTGACTCACAACTCCGGCCGGGTCGGAATCCATACTGGCAGGGTGAGAGAAGGTTGTGAAGCAGCACAACCCCCAACAAGGGCTCCGGTCTCACGGCTGTCATCCTGAATGACTGCAAGACGGTTTTTGATATATAAAAGTACTTTTAGGCATTTCTAAAATTTCTTAATAAACTAAAATCCGTTTAGTATACTCATTCCAAATATCCACCGTGGGGCCAGAGCCTATATGGTACGCTGAAGCCTATGAGTTTGATGCGACTGGAGCAAGGCAAAAAGCCCAAGGTCCTCGCCAGTGATTCTCAGCCTCTTTGACGATATGCAGAAATTGAAGCCATGTTTGGTGCTTCCGACCACCTCTTTTATGGAGGATATGTTGACTGGAAACTGTCTAAACTACCGTAGAATACCGTGCATCCGCCCACACCACACTAAGCACCCATTCCCAAATTTGTAGGATCTGAGAAAATACACGCAGTACATTTATATGTAAAATTGACGACCAGAGAAGGGCCCATCCCCCATTTTGTTTGCGATTATCTCCAAGTTTGAGTGGGCGCTTGCCTGGTATTTTACGGTAGACAACTTTGCAGTAGACAGAAACCTTCAGAGAGGCTCTGAACTTTCACAAAGAGTTGAAAACGATACCGCAGACTGAGGACAGTAGAATCTTGGTCGCAGGCCTTAAAAGTAACCTGGCGTCAAGAATACGGGACAATACCTTGTCGATATTCACATTGATATATTGCTGCGCAGCCCTTTTGTACTTGTACATTAAGGGAACACTGAAACCCCCAAAATTTGTTTTATTTTTCTCCATGAGATTCATTATGGTATCAGAAGACTACCCAATCAATATTTTGCAACAGCGTCATGCATATTTTTAATAAAGTAAAAAAACGCAACTGCTCGAAACCGAAACTGAACTGGGGAGGGAGGAAGAAGATATGAAGAGGAGGAAAGAGTTGGCGAAAATCACGCGACTGTGCAAGTCTTTTTTCCTTCTTCAATTAACGTATTTGCGGCTTTCTAGAAGCCACAAAAAATTGGTACTTATATTTCATTTCTATTCTTATTCAGTGCGTGCCTTCAATGATTCACGACTGATTATATTTGGTGGTTGTGTCTAAACTATAGAAAACGGCACGTGACAACAAAGAAGAGAGTGAGTGCGACTCAAACCAGCCAGTTCGTGATCGGCGATTTTGGGGCGGAAAGAAAACGAATTGCGACCCACAAATTGTGTTCTGTGTAGTTGGGCTTTCATGTCATGTGCAAATAAAAACCTTGGTGAGCATAAATACCCTGTCAGTGCCCCTTTTAGAGCAGTAAAAGAAAGACTGTTTATGATCCATGACAAACATCCACACAAGGCGGCATCATTTGAGCAACATTGTCATGTGTAGGTCTGGATGCTGTGAGGATTCCTTTAAAACATTCTTGTTTTCTTGCCCACAACACTCTGGCTCAAATTCGGTGCACAGTAACTACTATTCAATACTCAATTCAAATTCACTTCCAACTGAGAGTCGACTATTTGCCACGCCTGCTGTTCTCTAACCAGTGAGATTCGAGTGACTAGGCAAAATCCCCAAAGCGGCTACACAACGTGAGAAGATTCATTCAGATAACACCGTATGCCGATTCACTTTATGTATTTCTCCATGAACTTCTTGTGGAATTCCGACCGCAGCGTGTCGTTGATGAAGTGGCGCTCCTTGCTGCCCTCCAGGTCTCCCTTGGCACAGTTCTTGAAGACAACGTCGTCATCCCAACGTCGCTTCACCTTGAACTCCGCCTTGGTCGAGTTGAGCAGCGGGTTCCCGCTCAGGATGTTCTCCATCCGGATCCTCTCTTCCTGAACCTTCCGCTCAGCCTCCTGCATGCAGGGACGGGCACACCAACTCAGCGTGTTTCCAGCAAACCCAGCGACTATATAAGCTACACTTGCAGCATTCACACCCTATTTTATCCGCCGAATTCAGAAACCTCACTCAAACTACACTTAAACTGAAGGGCCCCTCCACTTCCTCGAGGAAGGCGCGAGGGCCGGCGCTGGCCAATCGCGACGGCGGATCCGTCCTCGCGATTGGCCAGCGCCGGCCCTCGTGCCTTCCGCGAGGAAGTGGAGGGGCCCTTCAGTTTAAGTGTAGTTTGAGTGAGGTTTCTGAATTCGGCGGTAAGACTGTCTTGCAGGTGCTTTCACTTTGTTAGAGTTAAAGACAGAATGAAAACAGCAGAGAGGAGTTTCACTTCTGCCTCTAGTACGATAGTCACTCATACTGAGTGACTACAGCTATGGTTATGATTCTAAAAGGCAACTTTCTGAGCTTTAGATGCAGTGCCAAAAAGCTGGGGCAATACGGTTTCACCCTGTCTCAGACTCTCTTAACACTTCTGCAGGATGAAAAAGTGTTTCCCGTGATTTGAAAGAAAGCTTCAGAAAACTGGACACAATGAGCAACACGATGGCTGGGATGTCCTTACTCTGAAGCATGGTTTATATTGTGGCTCTAAGTGAACCCATTTGCAATACAAAAAGAGAGACGTCTAATGTAGACCGAGAAACAACTGCATAAACCGTTTGACGCATCACCGAATGAGCCATGCCATCTTGAAATTATGCTATGCAGATGCCACTGCGTGGTTCAGCTCTATATGATGATGAAAAAGATGAATCTCTTGCATTAATATTTTTTATAATGTTTCAAGGTGTATTCTTGCAGTAGTTTGCAAACTATTGTACAATGTCTACACTCACTTCCTAATTGTCCACCATCATTATGCACACAACTTCTACAGTTGACTTTGTAAGAGGCACTGACGCATTCTCAGCCTTGGTGCTCTGGATGCAAGTGTGTAGGTAGGTGTCAATAAGACAGTGCAGAGGTTTTCAGGTCAGCTGGTTATGACGAGGTGGCTTGAATGGGAATAGTGGCAGAGCAATCGTCATAAAGAAAGCAAGGTTATTTGATTGCCCTGACATTGTAATTTGGCACGAAATTGCCGCTACAGGGTGCTTTTTTTTAGATATCAAAAAGCAAATGTGTTTTAATCAAGAGTCACAACTAAAAAACTAAAATTTTATGTGGTCCACTTTGCAGCAAGCTCTTTTTTTTTTTTTTTGTGTCAATGTGAAGAAATGTTGATGTTCGGAACGTTCAATTTAGAAGAAAACAAAACGTTTGAAGAAAATAATTCTGACTTGGCTCTCATTCCCCATTTTGCCCAATATAAATGCTCCAATGGCCCACAGGAGCACTTTGACACTTTCAGTCTGAAAAGGAGTAATTGCATTGTGAGCCATTATAAATCCTTGTTTCTCAGTTGTATCTTCTGATCAAGAAAAACTTGTTTTTTTTTTAAATTTTTTCGAACAGTGAAAACACCACTCAGCTGCATGTTTGTGCTAGTGTACAAGCATATGAACCTAATATTTAGATTTTTTTTAAAGTGGGCTCATGCTATAGTACATATATAAATAAATACACAAGAAGACACGAGTAATCACTGTAAAGAACAATGGTGCCTCTTCCCTGCTTTGCTGTCCATATCAACCACATCAATTGTTACCAATTATCTGTGGAGAAGAGGGGATTCACAAACAAGATAGGTAATGAGCTTATAGACCGTTTTACTGAAAGAGGGCGTGAGAGAAAAGGGGAAAGGGCTACCGGCGCTTTTCACCTTTCTGGTTGAGTAGAAAGAGTAAAAGTCCCGGATGAGAGGCTTGGCCGGTGTTGGCAGACCTGCCAACCCTACAATGTTGAAAATACTACAAGGGACGCCAAAAAACACTACAATTGTGTGAAGAAATATGAAAACTGTTTCATTCTTCAAAACTTAGTCACAAAATGTGACTATAATGGGATAAAGCTTGGCATCATTGTCATTGTCTTTGCTCGTGTCAGTCGCGACCAAGAACGGCACACTCCTGAAACTACTGACAACATTGCCAATCTGTTTTTCAGCCATTCCCTTCATTATCGACACTGTTTTGGTTTGAGCACAAGCGTAGTTAGTCCCTTTGAGCCTCTGAACATTTTCTTAAAAAGGTCTCCGGTGTGATCAGCCGCCGTGAACGGCCCGCTCTGTTCAACAAAAATGCAGTAAAAAGGCATTCTGCTCGGATAGTTTTGTGATCCGTTGATCGGCTAAAGTACCCTCCGAGCTTCTCGTTGGTTTTAACTAGTTTTGCAGAGCCCTTGTGCTTTTTCATACTGAGATGACACAGAATGTCCCGGCGACCAGCGTTCGAAATGTTGACATTGCAGCAGCACAAACTACTAAATGCATACCTCTCGCCCTTGCGCAACGTCTTGATTAATAGAAAGTCGGTCAAATAGCTGGGAATGAACACTTGAAACTAGTTTTTCCCCGACATCTCTTTGTAAAGGTGGTTTCAAGGCATCATGCGCATAAGTTCCGGTAACACAATGCACGACGTGCGCCACAACCAAAATTGCCACAAGGAAGATTTCCTAAACAGAAAGTTATTTTGGATTCGGATGGGTGGATGGGTGTTAGCAGCTATACCCCTTATAACGAGCGGTAACTTGCACCCCCTAGCATACAAGTCAATGTATCAGTGTGGCCAACACCGAGTTGTAAACTGGCGAGATGTAGCTCAAACAAAAACAATTTACATTTTTTTTTTTCTTTTACAATGGAATTAGAAAAAAATTGTACAAATATTGTTGTCAATACGATAACCTTAAGAAAGCGTTGGAAAGTGGGCACTTTATGATGAAATCTTAAAACTTGGAAGGTATGTATTGGGTGTCTGCAGTGCCCGAACTTTGTCTGCACATTCTTTTCTGTTTTAAACTCGCAAACTTAATTAGAGCCACGGGTTCGATGGCGACAATCCCTCGGTCATTGGGACACCATTGCTCGGTCATAGGGCGCACGAATAATGGCAGAAAGCGTTGAATACTGTCCGAAAACCCACGAAGCTTGCAAGGAATCTAGCAAGGCGAGAGCGGCTGCAATGTCTTTAAGCTCCATCGCTTTCCACATGACCCCAGTCTCCAACGGCAGTGGATTGCGTCCATAAACCAAAAAGATGTTTCCTTAATGCCATCCTTTCGAATGTGGTCGGCAGATTTTGTGAATGAAGCATGCACCGAACGCTGTACCGCTGATGAACATGGGGTACGCTTACAAGATGCCTGCACGTTTTCTCATGATAATTTCTGTTTCAGCTTGTAAAATTTCATAACTGAATTTATCTTAATATTAATAATTTGCAGTGGTTGTTGTTGTTGTTGATTACGGGCTTTATGGCGCAAAGCTACTATGGCCATACTGCGCCAAGCTTGTTTAATTGGGAAATACTCAGGACTTTTTTTTTAATACAAATTATCTAAAAAGAGTCATGTAACAAGGTTAAGAGTCATAGAATTAAAATTACAACTCCAGTAGGAAGCCAGTTTTTCTTAAGTAATTTATGACACGATCAAACGGTACTATAGGAGTCTCTCCAATTAGCAGCGCTGGGTGGAAAGGGATCTGGTGTGAAAAAAACTCGGGGAAATATGTACGTCGTTCTTGCTCAAGCCCTGGGCACAGCCACAAAATATGTAAAATTGTTAAACGCTCCCCACAGTCATCACACAGGGGTGGGGCTTCCCCCCTCAGCAGATGTTTGTGGGTGAGATAGGAGTGTCCAATTCTAAGACGACACAAAAGAACTTCATGGCGGCGGGTTTTGTGGGATGCACTCTCCCACATACCAAGAGCTGGTTTAATCCTGTGAAGTTTGTTTTCACATTCCAGACTCCACTCCGATTGCCATAGCTGGAAAACTAATGATATTACTAAGGGCTTCATGTCTTGAAATGGAATCTGCGAGGTAGTTGGCAGTAGGTGCTTAGAGCTAGTGGCCAACTCGTCTGCTCTTTCATTACCTAGGATCCCCATATGACTAGGCACCCAGCAGAATTTTATGTCTTGGCCAAGCCGCAGACCATATTGTACCTTAGATCGGACAAGTTGTGCCAGTCTATTTTTATTTCCCTTTATTGAGCAAAGTGTGGTGAGAACACTTTGAGAATCCACGAATAAAATAGATTTCATCGTCTTGCTGGTGAGAATATACTCCAAGGCCATCAACACCGCATAGAGCTCTGCCGTGTAAATACTTGCACATTCTTTGAGACGCTGTACCTTACTGAATCCTTCAGAGTAAAATGCTGATCCTACAAAATGCAATGATTTGGCACCATCGGTATAAAAATGTGAGTAGTTATCATACTTTTTCTGCACCTCAAGGAATTCTTGTTGAATCACCACTGAGGGGATGTTACGTTTGTTAAATCTAGTAAAATACCAATCACAAGAGACTGGCAACATACTCCACGGAGCTTCATTTTCACCTTTCTGCAAAAGGTCGGTCTCGTCAAGGGTAAGGTCAAGAGACGTACAAATGCCCTCAAGGCGAAGGCTTAAAGGTGGTACAACCCTGGGCTTATGTTCGAAAAGACGAGCAAACCGAGAATGTTGCAAAGCACCATAAGTTGGGTGATTTGGATAGGATAGTATTCTGGAAGCATAAGTCACTGCAAGATAACGTCGCCTGTGCATAAGTGACATCTGATTGGATTCAGCGTACAAGCTAGGAATGGGCGATGTGCGGAAGGCACCTGTGGCGAGCCTTAAACAAAGATGATGCACAGGATCCAACATTTTGAGTGCAGACGGCCTTGCTGAGTCGTAAACTATAGCACCATAGTCCAGACGTGACCGGATAAGGGAGTTGTATAAGCGAAGCAGACATATTCTGTCGGATCCCCATGACTTGTGCGCTAAGACTTTAAGAATATTGGCTGATTTAAGGCACTTCTTTTTCAGGCCCTTTAGGTGGGAAACGAAGTTTAG